TATAATTTTAAAATATTATATATATATATATTACAATTTTAAAATTATTAAATTTTTAATAAAAAGACTAAAATTGTACAATTATGATATTTGAAAGATTAAAATTTTTCAATTAAAAATTTATGGACTAAAATTGCTCAATTACAATCAATTAAAGATTAAAATTATTCAATTAAAATTTTAGAGACCAAAATTGTACAATTATAATATTTTAAAGATAAAAAACATAATTAAACCTATTTTATTTAAATAATAATGTGTAATGTACATGTATGTTCTAGAACCTAACCAAACTTGATCATTCTTAGTTGAAGAAAGAAGAAACAACGTGACTGTTCTTTCCTCACAACATAAACCCATTCAAGAAACAACGTTTGACATAACAAGGTAGGAGATGAGATGAGATGAGAGTGTCTCTTTTTGTTCAAAACTAATATGAATTTCATTTGTCACGGAATAATACATTTCTTGGGTTTTAATCAGCGTTTTTGCTTTCTCAGTCATTTGCATCCCTAATTCCTTGCTACTGTGTTTGTTTACTCTGTATGCTCTTTGGTTACGGTGTTGTTAATAGTGGCCACATTCGTTTACAAGTTTATAGAGTTCAAAAATAATGCTTGAGAATTACCTGAGGTAGGGGGAAAGAAAGAACTAGCACTAGGTCCCTTGATTGTGGTTAGATTAGGTATACGAAAGTGATTCATGAATACCTAGAGAAAGAAGAAAGAGTTGGAAAATAGAGAAGTGTAAGTGTTATATTATAGGTAATATGATGTAACAAAGAAACGGCAAATGAAGAGTGTTAATTAGATATATTACATGGTCTAAGAGACCAAGACCACCATGTTCTTGACTAATTTCCACAGAATACTTGAAAATCTCAGTTATATGACGCATGAGATATTGGTTAAGAGTTAAGACTATGGAACAGTGATCTGGGACCATGTAATAATTTCTTACTATTTACATGTGATCTGTGATCATTTATATAATAGCATCAGTGTCCAAAAAAGGCACTATCTCTGTGCTGAACTACTATTGCTTCATAAAATGGCAGTGACTTATGGAAGTTTATAGTATGGTGTTGAAATTACCTGGCTCTTTATGCTCAATACCATGCTACCTTTTGTCAGTTTAATTGTGTTGCATAGTTATATCGTGTTATGTGTGAAATCTTAATTCAAGATTAGTTTCTTTTATGTAGTTCTGTGCACTACAATATTGGGAAATATTCCAGCTAAAATGATATCTAGCTTATGGTTTTTATGTGGTGCAGGCATTGTGAAGTTTGAGGTGTTAGTTTTTTTCTACCAAAATGAATACCACCCAAGTTGCTACAATGAAGCCTATGATTTATGTTAAAAATGCACCTCAGTTGTGCCCCAGTTTTCATTTTAAACCATGTACATTACCAATGGGCTTCGACCCTCTCTCTGTGACATCCAAGAGCGGAAGAATTAAACCTTCATTTGTTTTGCAATGTGTGCCTATCCTTAAATCCCGGCAGCCTCTACATGTTTGTTTAGCAGGTGGACGAGGAATGATGGACAATAACGAGGTTGCACATCTTTAATTGTTGCACTACTATAATATTTTGCTTTTATCAGACATTAGTTATGTTATAAGTGGTTAGATTCTCAGTGAGAAAATTTCTTGATGCTTCTTCTCGTAAGTTATTGGTTTGCTTTTTAGCCAAATTTGTGTCTTTCCCCCTTTTAGATGCATGTATTATTACCAATGAAAATAAGGTGGTCTTGGGCTTTTATCCCCTCCATCATGTTTAGTTTAAATTAGTTATTTTCACAAAATCCTTAAAAAAAATAAAAATAAAAAGAAGGCAGCCCAAATGTTATTTCTTAATGTGAAATAAAATTAGTATTAAATTCAAAATGAAGATAAAAACCACGCGAAGCACTGCCAAATTATACCTTTTATACGTCACTGTTATCTCCTGATTTTGAGGCTTGAAGCAGAATTTGACAATTTGTTGTTCAATCCCTTATATAAATTTTCAGCATTAGTAGAAACATTGGCCCTTCTAATATGTTTTTGTCCTTGTAAATAACTCAAAGGACAGCATGTATATTATTTGGGTATTGCTATTTTCAATTGTATATGATTAGAAAAGCAAATATCAGCATCGGGTAGAGAAGTGTATATCATTGGGTAAGTTTACTTTTTCCAAGGCTAATTTTTAATCAGATCCAAAACAGGCACCGATGGACTATAAGAACCCCTTTTTTTAAATAACTCCCAAGCATTCTTGGTATCATGAACTTTTGCAGAGCATGTTAAAGGGATGAAAGTAGAGGGATCAGAGTAGTTTAGCATTTTTTTATTTTAGTTCCATATGTTGGATTTGAATTGTTCTTCAATTATTAAGCACTAGTAATGTAATTAGGATTCCCAGAGGAAATATCTTGAGAAAGCTATGGAAAAACTTAAGGGACAGTCAATAGAGGATATATTACAACAACAACTGCAAAAGGGAGAAAATGGAGGCAAGCCTCCAAGAGGACGAGGTGGTGGTGGCAGTGGTGACAGTGGCAATATCCCTGGTGGATCAGAGGATGGAGGCTCTGATTGGATGCATGAAACTCTTCAAGTTGTTTTAGCAACAATTTCTTTTATATGTCTGGTGATTTCTCTCTCTCTCTCTCTTGTGATAAATGAATTGTGTATGCACAAGTGTTTCTCCATCCACTTACTCATTATTACTGAGATTTCTTTTTTGTGTGTGAAAAGGGAAGGAAAAGCTTGAGGTAGTGATGTTGTTAAGCTAACAATGGTAGTTAATTGTGTCTGTTTGTCTGTACTTAATGGAAGATGGACCATAAGTAAATTTCATTAGAATAAACAACTGGTACCAGGAACTATTCTCTGAAGTGCTTAAAATGTACGAGGTTGTTAAGCTTGAAATATACTCACTTATGCAAAACTCCGTATGATATTTTGTTTGCCTTAAGGGCTAAGGCTTGTTACATAAACTTTTCCAAAAATTCTTCTAGGAGATAAAAATATGAAGAAAAAATAAAATAACATTTTTCATATGCTAAAATTAATTTATGAATGAGTTAACTTGTAAAAGTTCTCTTATTAATTTTTCTAAATCTTATTTTTATCTCATGCATAAGTTAATTTTAATTTATGAAAAAAAATTATTTTGTTTTTTTCCCAATTTTCTTTTACTAAAAATGCTTCTGGAGACGTTGACATGATTGTTTGATTAAAGAGGTTGATAGGATGCATGTGGCCATGTCTCATTTGATAACATACTACACCTTTTCCAGTATATTCTTTTCATCAACGGCTTAGAACTTGCAAAGCTAGCTAGGGACTACATCAAGTTTCTTTCTGGTGGAAGACAGAGTGCTCGACTAAAGCAATTCACATACAATTGGAGACGATTTTACAAGATTATCACTGACAAGTTGTCAAGCATGGGATTGAGAAAGCCTTCACATGGATGTTCAAGCTTGATGTCTTCTGAGGTGTCCTCACTCCTTAAGCATTACATGAAATCAAATCCAGATGAATAAATTTTCTACATTTTGCATCCTTCATTCATATGAACTATGGTTTTCTTCTTTAGGATAAATAGAGCACATACAATGTCATTCTTTGGTTGCCGTATTATCACCATTTGAGAATTAGAATTTAAATTAATGAAAGTGTTGCAGTTTTGCTGAACAGATGAAAGTTTGGTTTTGTATAATTTTGGGAATATTGTTTTTTTGAGTCCAAATTTCTTTCGGTAAGTTTTTGAGTATATAGTGTAGAAGCCATTGTTTGATGTCATTTTTATTTGTGGTAATTATGCTTATTTTTTCTTGAAGACAGCGCTTATTGCCCCCAATCATTTCTTTTGTTTTTAGAAAATTGCAATAGCATTCCTTATTTTCTTCACTGTTGTTTGGCTTACCACTTATTGTTTAATAAATTACTTTAAAAGAAGAATATTGATGATTTTAGAATCACTTGCTTTAATTTTGTAAGTAACAAAATTAAAAAGAGTTGCCAAACTTGTGATATTTGTCTAGCATTTTGCTTATCTTTTGTGCTAACTACATCATATATGACTGGTACCTTTCATCATTACCATTTTACCAAGTAAGATGCATTTGGACCTCATGTTCAGAAGCAGAAAATATGCAATTTCGGAATTTTAAGGCAATGTTTGTTGCACGAAAATGACATTTTTAAAGAAATGCTATATTATTTTAAATTATCAATCCATTATTCTCTAAGGAAATAAAAATGGAAAGACGGTTGATTTAATTACAGTCTAGAAATTGCTTTTCCTTTTCTTTTTTTGGAATTACAAAAATTGTCTTTCCTCTTAAGTAATTAAAAAGAATTTGTGATTTTTTGTATATACGATGACAAACAAGGGTTTGAATGTATTATTTGTCGTAAAATATTTGAATTTCTGAGTAGCATGCTTTTGCAAAAGGGTGAGGCTATTATGGACATTTTAGTATGTTAATTTAAATTCATTTTTAATCCTATCCTATTTTCTAAATTTATCATTATTATTTAACTTCTTCTAAATAAAAGTTAAAATTACTTAAGTCAACTTATTTTATGTCTTGTATAACATCAACATGGTGTACAATAATTAACAAATGACTATTTTTTTAGTGCTTTTTTTTTTTACAAGGGGATATAATTCATTTTTATAAAAATAAAATAGTACTTCTAATCATGATTTTTTGTCCAAAGCAATGATTTGTTCTTAATATAAAAAAAATATAAGTGTCAACCACTTGAACTAACAACTTTTAATCACGTAGTTTGATTCTTATGTTCGTGTATGATGTATATAGAAAAACACTATTGAAAAATGTCAATTTTTTAAAGAAACTTCTATATATATATATATATATATATATA